CTCGGCCCGGCCCCGGCCCGGCCCGGCCCGGCGCTGGGAGCCTGCTGGAGCACGGGAGTGCGGGGCGGCGCTCTGGGCCTCGAGCTGCCTACGGGGCCTTTGCCAGACGGCCTCGTGTCCGGGGTGTAGAGGGGAGGCTGCCTCCTGCCGACCCGGCTCTTGGCTGCTCCCTGCCCAGAAGGTCATGCTGCGTTGCACCAGCTGTCCTCGTGCAGTCTTCTGACTGATGGCAATAGCTGCCAGGTCCTGTGGGAGGGAGGGAGGGATGCAGGCCAGCATGGGTGACCAGGATCAGCTGGAGGCTCCTCTTGCCCTGGCTGAGTTTTTTGGATGCCCTCTGCCTGATGCCCACCAATACATTGCTGGGCATTGACAGGTAGACCACAGAATTCTACTGTGCCTTCTGGGATGTCCTCAGCCATAGTGTGGGCTGAGTCTGAAGGGGACAGGAAGCTTCCCTTATCAAGTAGGAGGGTTGTGCTAAAAACTTCTTGCCCAGGAAGGGGGATCCCTGTGACCTGAGGAACTGGTGTCCTGTCTCCTTCTCTGTACAGACTATAAAGCTGTAGCAAATAGAGGTGAACTGATAGAGATTTTTTTGGGCCAATACCAATAGCCAATTATTGACCAGCCATATTGGCCAATACCAATCTGATTGCCAATATGCAGCTTGGAGAGCAGCGTCTGGCTCAGGGGTGGGCAAAATATGGTCTGCAGGCCTCATTTGGCCCACCAGGCCATTTAATCCAGCCTGTGGGGCCTCTAAATATTAATTTTCTAAATTTTTTATCTGCCCTGGCACCTGTCAAAGGGGAAGCCATGGCAGGCTCCTACAACAGCAGTGCCCTCCTGGCCCTGCCCCCCAGCTGGAAGCCCCTGCCTGGGACTATGTGGCTGTGCTGGCATGGGAAATTCAGGTAAGAAGTGGGGGCGGGGAGAGGCAGGAGGGGGCTGCGGGGATCATCCCAGTCGTTCGTAGATGTTAGGGTTGGAAGGGACCTCAGTAGATCATAATCGAGTCCAACCCCCTGCATAAGCACGAAAGAGTGCTGGGTCTAGATGACCCCAGCTAGATACTCATCTAACCTCCTCTTGAAGACCCCCAGGGTAGGGGAGAGCACCACCTCCCTTGGGAGCCCATTCCAGACCCTGGCCACTCGAACTGTGAAGAAGTTCTTCCTAATGTCCAATCTAAATCTGCTCTCTGCTAGCTTGTGGCCATTATTTCTTGTAACCCCTGGGGGCACCTTGGTGAATAAATACTCACCAATTCCCTTCTGTGCCCCCGTGATGAATTATAGGCAGCCACAAGGTCGCCTCTCAACCTTCTCTTGCGGAGGCTGAAAAGGTCCAGTTTCTCTAGTCTCTCATAGTAGGGCTTGGTCTGCAGGCCCTTAACCATACGAGTGGCCCTTCTCTGAACCCTCTCCAGGTTATCCACATCCCTCTTGAAGTGCGG